TTCGTACCCCGAATGAGCGATGGGGCAAATTCGTTTGTGAATCGCACATTCCCATGGGGAGATAAACCCGGGGGGTGAGGGGGGGTAGATTCCAATCGTCTGGTACAAAAAGATATGTTGTGCAATGCAGGGCGGCGACGCGGCGGCGACGAAGCGGGGACAGGGCGGCGTCGGTGGCGACATGGCCGCCAGCACGCTAGTCAGGCCCAGACGACGGGCGGCGACGAGGCGGCGACTGGGCGGCGGCGGCGGCCATATAGCCGCCGGACCAGCCGCCAGGACCAGGCGACGGGGCGGCGACGGGGCGGCGACGGGGCGGATACGGCGGCTACAGTGCAAACGTGCAACGTGCAAACATGCGATGGCACGACAGTGAAACACAATGTCTGGGACACGTGGCCTAAAATATGCCATGCCAGTGTTTGAAAACGCGCCATGCAACCAGTACTAAATCATTCGGAATTGTGTGGTGCAATTTGTGTGTGTGGCGCAGTCGATGTAGTGCGAGCTATAAGGGGAGGAGGACGAGCGATGGTTGGGAGAGGGGAAGGAGGGGAGTGAAGAGGAACGATGAAGGGCATGACGGGTCTGATGCCCGCCCAGCTCGAAGGATAGTTGAATTTTCTTGTATGTCAGGGTCTCACATTACCCGCCAGATTCGCCAGCACAAAAGGTGTGCGAACTGGTCTTCCTCTTCATCACTCCCCTCTTGTCCTATGCGACGTGGAGTGGTCGACAGGAGATGTGTGACCACACAACCTTAATAACAACTGCTTTCGCCAAGATCCGCACAACAGTCATCGACCACTGTGCAGTTTGCCCCCCCTCTGTGGCTGATCCTTGCGATGCCTGAGTCGATGCGGCCCCTTCCCGTAGCACAACGCCTAGAACTTGAAGGACGACGGATGTAGTTTTTTTTGGAAGGCTGCCGGCTCATTATTCATTGCATCGGTTTTCGTTGCGAGAGCACAACGGTCGTGGTGATGGTGATGACAAGGGGACTGGTGAGAACATACCGGCGGCAAGGTTAAGCAAGAGCGCGGGAATGAGGAGGAGTATGAGGTAAGCTCTTGCGGAGATGCCGCATCGAGCCTGCTTCCGTTTGCCATTGAGGTCCCTCGGGGTGCACGCGCGGGGTCTCTCCGGTTCTCGAGTCTCCTTCGGTATTATCCGTTGTGGCAGCGATGCAGCGATGATGTTGCTCAACTCGATGCCAAGCAAAGAGAAGAGCCCCCCGCAAGAGAAGGAGAAGGAGGAGGGAGGAGCATAATGATAAGAAACAGGGCGAAAAGGAGCACAAGGAGGAGGATAAGGAGGGATGGTAGTTGGCGTGGAGGAGCACGAGGGGGAAAAGCACTCGGCGAAGCAGCCGCAGCAGGAAAAATAATGAGCTGGAGCAAAAACAGGACGAGGACAGGCACCCAGGTGCGTGTGCGACGTTCCCGCGCTCCCGCTCACTGCCCGCGTCGCTGCGCAGATTTGGTCTTGCTTAAGGCCGCGTGGACACGGGGACACAGGCGAAACGCGTACCAATTCCTCTTCTGAGAAGGTGCAGGAGGGCATCCTGCGCCTCACCCTCTCTCTCGAGCCTCCTCCCCTCCTCCGTCCTTCTCCCGCTCCTCATCTTCACATCTCCCTCCCTCGTCCCTCCTCCTCATCGTCCTCCCACTTCCACCTTACCTGTTTTCGTCCGCCTCGTCTTCCAACGCTTCCTGCTCCTGCTCCTGCTCGTCCTCCTCCTCCGTTCTTCCGACTCTTCTTCCTCCTCCTCCTCCTGAGCCCTGAGCAATTGGCCGTTCTGGCTCAGGCAGGCGTTCGGCTCAGCGCGCGCTTCGGGGTAACCTCTCCCTCGCCAGCCTTTCCATCTGATAGCGTGATTGACTGGCCCCTTTGTCGGCTGATGATCAAGGTGAGAGACTTTGGCTGCGCCCACCAATCCAATACGTCCCTCCCCTACCTCGTTCATCGTCCGAGCCAGCTCAGGGGGAAGAGGTTGGCGAGGGGGGAGGTGACAACGCGAGTAAAGTGAGGCTGCGGAGGTAGAGGAGGATAAGAACCATTCGAAGGACGAGGATTAGGCGGAGGAGGGTGAGGGATAGAAGGGAGGACGGCAGACGGAGGGAAGATGAGGGAGGGGTGGGTGGACCAGGAGCAAGAGAGGGGGAGGGACAAGCTAGGTGCGCTCGCGTCATATCTGACGTCCTACTCCCTCCCATCCCTTACCATGGCGTAGATATCCTCTCTATTCGCACGGTCGGATGTCGAGCAGTGCAATGACCGCGAGAGGGTACGCTTTGCACGGTAGATCATGGCATGGCATGGCACGGCAGAGCTGGCATGCCATAGCAGGGCGTGGCATTGCGCAGTGAAGCATTGCATTACAAAGCATTGCAGCGCAAAGTATGGCATCGCGCAGCGGCGCAGAACACAACACCGCACAGCATGTCATGGCATGGGGCGGGTCTCCTCGTAGGGTAAGTGGATCGTCTTCGAGTGGTCTGGGGCGGTCTGGAGTCGTGGGTCCATGTCTAGCTCCTTGGGCTCCCCGAGAAGCTCCACACAAGGCGGGGTTGATGGAGAGCACCTGCTGGCTCTGCTTTCGACATCGCCTTCTCAAAGCAGAAACGGGGCTCCCGCTTAATAATTCCTGAGAGCGACGACGCCCCAAAGTGGGGGTGCTTCCGCGGCCAAAAAAAATCAACGAACCGGCGCCGAATGCGTAATCACTTCCGATGGTTTTTTCGGGGGGCCAGTTGCTAGATTGTGGAGCATTTTTAGAAGGACCGAGAACGCCCGCGCTGCAGCGGCAGCACGATTTGGAACAACCAGAGGCGCAGAACTGGGACCAACGCTTCAGCGGGAGCAGCATTTCGAAGCAAAATCCAAGCGAAAACCATATCCTGGGCATCCTTTGTGTAAAACATCGTACGCGGAGGGAGGTTGGATATCTTCCGGACGTCGTCAGTGGAGAGAAGAGAGTATTATTCATATTGTGTAAGTGTTGAGGGAGGGGTCCAGCAGGAGGACAAAAAGGGGAGGGGGGGGGGATGGGTAATAACAGGATGGGGAGGGAGGGGAGGGGGAGGAAAAGAAAGAGGATGAGCATGGACCTCCATGCCAGCTGTCGCGACCAGCCCGCTAGAAAGTACTGAAGATGTAATCGCCCTCCGTGACCTGCCACGCGTCTCCTTTCGCAGATCGCCTCCTGGCGCCGCTTGTGTCCACTAGTTCGCCCTCGTCGTGGAAGGTGGTGCCCATCTTCGCCATTAACCTGGCAACAGAGGCGCCAAAGGTCACATGCGCTACGTCGCCGTCGGAGCCGAATCTGCACACCTTCAGGGCACTGGCTACCTGCAGCTGGTCTTTTAGGACAGCCTCCCAGCATGTAATGCAGGGCGGCAGCTCAGACATGCCAGGGGGGCCGTCTCACAGTAGCGCTCTGGGAGGCGATGGTTCATTGAGTCGGGTTCCAGGCCTCCAGGCCAGTCGTCGTCGCCGTCGTCGTGATTGAGGTGCTTGGGTCGTCCTCCAACAACCTCTTTGTTCAATCGCCGCCATCGTGGCCTTTCTTACTCGTCATCATGCATTGCGGTCAAGAGCGTTTGCTTACGGTGTCGCGGTGCCGGTTATGGCCCACCATATTCTGGCGCCTCACGAGAAGCACGTCCCAGTCCTCAAGCGTCAACGTCCCCAGCGTTTTCCAGCCTCCCGCCTTGCGGTGCGGAGCGACACGCTAACCGTTTGCAGTGCATAGCGTGTCGCTGGGTCCGCCGCCGCGACACGCTAAGCAAACGTTCCCGCCGCAACCCGCGCCCTCCTCGGCCTCCGCCGCGCATGAAGCCGTTACCGCAGGAAGAGGCGTGGACGCATGCGCTGCTCGGATGTGCGCAGCGCCCCCCCCTCCACCCCCAAGGCTGCCAGACGCCGGGCTGCTGCGGTGCGCGCTGTGCCCCTCGGTGGCTCCGATGGTGCCGACAGCACTGCGCGGCGGTTCGCCGTGCTGTCGGCCTGGCATCCACAGCGGCGAGCGCTGGGGCGCCCTGGCGGTCTTGAGCACTCCCGCCCCGTGCCCAGACATTCGATGCCTTGATTTTCAATGCGGGGTCCTTGGAAGTCCTGCTCCCTTCCTCAGGGCTAGGTTTTCATCCCAGAACGTTCTTTGGCGACTTGGGGCCTGGCGAGGGCCACCAGAGACCGAAAACGGCCAAAAACCAGTCGTCGTGATTTCTTGACATCCCAAGGGGTCTGGGTGCACCTCGTCGCCAGGCTGGACCTCAGGTCCTCGTCGTCGGGCGGGTATCGTGGCGCGGGGCAGCGAGCTGAGCCGCAGCCAGCCACAGCCGCGGCTCGGCGCGGGAGCGAGGCCGTGGGGAGCGCACTGTGCCCCACGGAGGGGACTGCTCCGCCGTCGCGTGCAGCGGGCGCCGCCAAGCCGCGCCACGACGCCGCGCCGCGTCGCCTCCGGCCGGATGCGGCCCACTTGGCGGCCCGCCACGGCGTTGCCGCACCGCGCAAGGGTGTTCGGATGATGCACGAAGGCGCGGGGCGCCTCGGCATCGACGGCGGCGGCATCTGGCGGTGCGGGTGGGCTTGCGCCCCGCACGGCCAGCCGCTGTAAGAGCTCGGGCTCCCTGGTCGACGTCGGCCGCCGCGCCGCCGTCGCCGAGGTGAGCTCCAGCATGGGCCGCCTCTCGCAAAACAAACAACTCAACTTCCGACCAGCCACGCACTTTTTTTTACCAGCCGAAGAGGGGTGCGCCCCGTGGCGACTTAAGGGGAAAGGGGGGAAAGCAAAGGGGAACGGGAAGGGGGGAGGAGAAAGCAGCAGCAGCAGCAGCAGCAGCAGCAGCAGCAGCAGCAGCAGCAGCAGCAGCAGCAGCAGCAGCAGCAGCAGCGAGCAGCCTAGGCGCGGCCAGGCAAGCCTCTCAGCGCGCCCCGGCTTGCGGGGCGCGAGCGCCCCCCGCGCGGCCGGAGCACCGACGCCGCGCGGCCGCCTCCAGCTAGAAGGCGCGTGCCGCCTCGCCGAAGGCGAGCAGCGCCGCCGGTCCAAGGGCGGCCGGGTCTTCCGCGGTCGCGTCGAGCAGGAGCGCCGCCCCCTGCGCTGCTCCCAGGACCTTGCGCCACGCGTCCGCGCGCGCTCGCAGTCCGGCCGCCTGGTCCGCGCGCGTGGGGTTGGCCAAGCCAGCCTCTGCCCAGAGGCGTGCGGCGCGTGCGGCGGTGGCGTCCGGGGCGCCCCCGCCGGCAGCCGGAGTACCGTCGCTGCCGGGCGCGCCCGCCGCGGTGGCCCCGCGGGCCGCCGCGCCTCCGGCAGCCAGGCCACCGCCGGCGCCAGCTGGCCCCGCGGGCCGTTCCGCCGCCCGCGCAGACCCGCCCGCCGCCTCGCCGCCGGACGCCGCCAGGGCTGTCAAGTCGCCACCCCGGCCGCCGCAGCGGCCGCGCCCGCGCCGGCGGCGGCGCGGCGCCGAGCTCCCGCACCGGTCTCCCCGTCGCTGCTGGCGTCCCTGCCTCGCGCGGTCGCGCGGCCTGCCGCAGCGGCGCCGCCCGCGCGCGGCGGCGTGTCTACCGCGAGGCCGCCATCGACTCCGTCGACGGCGTCGGCCCAGGCGCGGTCCGGCGTGTGCAGCGCCGTCCGCCGGGTCGCCGGCGGCGGCGTGGCTGCCCGCTCGAGCAGCAGGGCGGGCTCGTCCAGCGCGTCGTACTCCTCCTCGATGGGGAAGTCGCCCGCATCCAGGCCCACCGTCGCCGGAGGGTCCGGCCGGTCAGCAGTGCAGCAGTGGTCGGGGCGGCGTCGCCACGGCAGGGGCTCACAGGCCCTGGGCCTTGGCCTCCCCCGGCCCGCGCCAGCGGATGAGGAGCTGGCCCTCCGTGAGGCTCGTTACCACGAAGCCCGCAGGCCCCTGGAGCCCCGCCCGCTGAAGCGCCAGGGTCACCAGCTCCGCGCTTGGCGTCCCGCCCTGCTCCGTCGCCGCTGGGCCTGCCGGGCAGGCCGCTGCCAGCGCCGCAGGGCCGGGCGGGCTCGGCGCCGTCGCCCGCGGGCCGGGCTGGGCCTGCCGCGTCCGTCGCCCCGGGGCCTCCGGGGCCGGTGCCAGCGGGTCCGCGGTGGCGGGTGTCGCGCGGCGGGCGTCGCCGCCGCCGCCCGGCTCGGCAGCTGCCGCCGCTGCCGCTGCCGCCGCTGCTGCGCCCGGCTCGGTCGCCCGAGGCGCTGCTGTGCTCAGCGTCGCTGGAGGGGCAGTCGGTGCCGTGGCTGCCTGCGCGCCCGCTGATTCGACCTCCTCGTCCGTCTCGTAGGAGTAGCTGCCGCAGTCCTCCTCGTCCTCTTCCTCGGAGCGCGGCGGCTCCGCGCGGTCCGCCGCTGGCTCCGCTGCTGGCCCCGCTGCTGGCCTTGCCGGTGGCGGCCCCACCTGCGGGGCGGGCCGGCGCGCCCGCCCGGGGAGGGGGGGGGGCGCTGTGCGCGGCAGGCCACGAGCGGGCCCGCCCGGCCGCGCGGGGGAGCGGCGCCGGTCGTGCCCGCGGGGCAGGCGGCCGCGGCTGCGGCTGCGGCTGCGGCTGCGCCGCCGCGCGCGCCTCAGGTGCCGCTTCCGCGGCGCTCTCGCCGACCCCGAGCGGCCGCGGCTGCTCCGGCGCCTCGCCGGCGGGCTCTGGAGCGCCGCCCCAGCTCCCGCGTCGCGCCCGAGCCCCATCCAGCCTGGCCGCGGGGCTGGCCGGAAGCGGCGCTTGGGTTCCTGCCATGGTGGGTCGGCCGGCTCGGGGCTCTCCTGCAGGAGCCGTCCCCCTGGCGTCGACGCTTCGGCGGGGTTGCTGGAGCCCGCCCCGGAGCCCACCCCTCGCGCGCCGGCTCCGCCGGTGCCGCCGCTGCTGCCCCCCCGCGGGTGCGCCAGCCGGACCTCGCGGGGAGGTCGGCCTCGCGGTGCCGCCGCCTTGCCCGGGCGCGCCTTCGCCCTTGCCGCCGCCTTCCGCCCCCACGGCAGCCTCCCCCGCCCCTTCGGCGGCATCGCCGGGGTCTTGCCACACGCCCGGAGCTGCAGGGATCGGCGGCGCCTGGCCGACCGCCAGGTGCCAGGCCAGGCCCGGCGGAAGGCTGGGGAGGCACAACCAGCACCCCCCAGGCAGGCTCTGCATGCGCCGCGCCGCGGCGCGCGCGGCTCAGCGCCAAAACTGCTGGTGGGCCCTCGAGCCCACGGCCGCGGCAAGTTCCCACCCCCCCCCACGTGGGTTGGGAACTTGAGCCAAAATGGCTACGGACCGACCAGCCACGCACATCTCACACATCAGCTGGCCCTGCGAGTCGAATCGCATTGCCATGAAAGTCGTAAGAACATAATGGCCCGCCTCTCGCACAGTACCCTGCTGGGTAACGCAGGGCAGGCCCCGCTGTGCCGGGCTGCCGCAGCGCCCGCGGCCGCTGGTTGGCCTGCAGCGGAAGGCTCCGCCGAGCCAGCATTCGGTGGACTGCAGCGGATCCAGTTGGTGACGCGCACGCCGCAACGCACGCTGCGCAGCCGCAGCAGCGCTAGGCTGACGGTCGCCCTCTGATGGCTGCTGGCTCCAGGAGGCCGTTGTGCAGCTCGCCCCCGCCACCCTGAAACGAACGTCATAGGGGGAACCCCCACCCCACCTTCAGCTATCAAGAGGCGACACGTTGTTGTGACGATGGTGTCTGCAATGATGAGGAGGAGGGCAGGAGGAGGAAGAGGAGCAGGAGGAGGAGGAGGATGAGGAGTAGGAGGAGGACGAGGCGAGACAGGACGAAGAGGAATTCGCGATCTTACTCCCCAGGCGGCGGGCCACGGAGGACAGCCTAACGCCTGACAATGCCTTGCTCACGAGCAAGAGACGCCTTCGACGGCCCCTGGTGGCCAGGGAAAACCTGTTTTGGTTGTGTCAACTCTTCGAAGCGAGGTTTGCACTTCACCACTAAATTGCGTGCGTCCTCCGTGGCAGATTGACCGCACGCCAAGAACAGGAAACCCGCACATGGGCCAGAAGTGCAACTTATGAGAGGAGTGACGAACCTTCCCCCCGCCCTCACCGACAAACTGGCCCGCGCAACCGCATGATCCACCAGACTCGCAATGCCTTGGGTTACGCCGCTTGACGACATGGCGTCGTGGACGCCTGTGTGACAGATGGCGCACAGCCATTTACATTCCGCGCGAACCAAGCAATGCTTGCTCGTGCACACGGCCTCATGGAGGCCCTCGTGGACATGGTGGGCCACGGGCGGCCGTTCGGCGGAACAGGGTGCCACATTGATGGGGTCCACCATGGTTTTGGCCGCCTGGCGGCTAACCAGCGCAGCAGTGCAATCCAACCGATCTGTGTTGGGAGGCCTGTCGCCAGCCAAGGCGTGAGTCCGGGAATATAGGGCGGTCTTCCCATCCAAGCCGTCGGCGAAGCCTTTCCCCGTGGCATATAAACACTTCTGAGGAGAGAGGAGAATATCCTCGGGATCCACGTGCGACGGGTACCAAACCACCTGGACCTCTCCCTGTCTTCTCCCGGCCTACTCGGTTCGGATGCGGAACCACAAAGTGTATTTGGGGCCTTTACGATCCTTTTGCTGTCTGGCCTGCCACCGTTTGTAGAGCGCTGCAGTGTCCGTGACGAGCCGCATCGGCCCCGAAACATTTCGCAAAACCATGTCAAAAACGCGGATTTCGGACCCGTGCATTGTTTTTCAGCGACCTCCAAGGGTCGTGGCGAACCCGCGGGGCCGCAGCCAGCCCCCAGAGGCCGCCGCCGAGAACCCGCAGCCGCGCCCACCCTTTGACGACGAGGGTCAGCACAGCCCACCAGAGGCACCTCCGATAACAAGGAGCACTCCGTCTTCTTGTAACTAAGCAAGATCGGCGTCGACATTGCTTCCCACCCCCCCACTCCACGTCCTCATCCGCGTCATGACACTTAGGGCACTTGCCGGGGGCCCTCGCAGCCAAAGGCTGCGGTTGGCCTCGTAGCCCGGTCGGGCATTGACGATCACATGGTCCGACTTGGAAAAAGCAGGGTCGTCCTTGTTGCAGGGGCAGTCGCATTTGCGATGGAAGAGTGACTCCTCGGGGGCCCCGCAGCGTGGGCACTTCAAGGGCACGAGGTAACCCTGGGCGTCAGGTGCCAGTGACTACCCGCATCTGACATGCCCAGTGGAATTCATCGCGCTGGAGAAAACGCTAGAGCTGGGACCTGAGTGCGTGAACATCCGCGTCTGAGGCCAAGTCGTCACCGTGCAATTTCTGAGCGGCTGACTTCCGCTGCATGCCCTGAGGTCTTCGGAGCAACCGCGCATTAGCTCAACAATGTCAAGGTATCCTGCCGCGCGGTCGACATCAACCCCGGGAAACTGCCACATTTCAAAAGTGTCCGGCCTGACGAGCTTTCGCCACTCCGTGGAGACACAGGGTTCCATTACACATGTTCCAGCAGGGCGAAAACGGCCCCAAGCGGCCCACGGAATTTCCGTTCCCGAGACTGCGGAGAAGGGCCCGAGACGAGCTGCACCAAGCGGCCAAATTCTGTATATTCTAGGGTGGGGCGAGGAGCAATTGTCCTAGCGGTCGAGCCAGGAGCGGGCCAGTTGGGTCCTGATGCTCGCGCCAGGGTCTTTGTCCCCGTACCATATTGCCAGAATAGTCGTGAGGCAGCGACCTGGCCTGCGACCTGAATCGGCTCGAGCCGCCTGCCTTCTCAGCTGAAGGATGGAGGTTTGAGAGAGAAAGACCCATGACTTGGTTTTCATGCGCCGACTGGGTCCTTGGAGGCCTCGACGAATCCCCTGGACTCACGAGTCCTTGGAGGCCTCGACGAAAGACGCGTGCGTTCGCCGACGCTTGGTCCGAGCTCCTCTGAATCTGCTTTGGTCAGTCGTCAGCGCAGCTCAACGCAGGGCCCGCGAGCTTCCCGCCGCAGCTCAACGCAGGGCCCGCGGGCGCTTCGCGACCCAAACCCATCGCAGTTTTAATGAGCTCGGCCTGCATGCCCAGACTGTTCAAAACAGTTGAAAGCTCTTGTCCTTTTTGTTGGAGAGTCGACTACTAGCTGGGTCTCCGACGAGATCGGGAGCTCCTGGGCGGCAAACGGCCGCACGAACGGATCCGCGATACCCAGGGCGCGGCCGCCGCGCGTCGGCCCATCGCCCGTCGGACCGGGCAATGTCATCATCAACGAAAGTCCAGGTCGCGGGGCGCGCGTTAGCCTGCGTGAGGGCCAACCGCTGGCGAGCTTCCTCCACGATGGTTTCTGAGCTCGCCTGCCATGGCCCGAGCCATGAACATCAGGGCTTCCAAGAGAGCGACTATGGCAGTATACCCTGGGCGCAGGACATCTGCGTCAACTTCAACGCGCTGTCGTCGGACAAAGTTTCCCAGATCGAGCAGCTGGACAGCCGCGGCAAATTCCAGCCCAGCGGCCGCTTCGTCCACGACCGAGCGCTGAGTGCTGGAGGGCGGCGCGCAAGAGGCGGGCGAGTTTCGCGCCGCCGCGCCCCGAGACGCGCTCCTGCTGTCTGCGCGGCCCCGTCGGCGGCTGCCGCCGACCGCGCCCTTGGCCGCAAGCCCGTGAGCATATGGGGGCGGCGCCTGCGATGCCCCCCCCCCCCCCCCCCAACCA